ATATATATATATATATGAAACTGTAAAAAATCGGCATAGACTATACCTGAAGGTGTGCAAAATCAATTTGAGCCCGAAAATAAACTGTACTTTCATAAAAAAACGGCGTCAGGGGAGAGGGAATGTAGTTTCTACGACAACAATGTCCACAATGTATCGATGGACCAGACACTATTTTCTTCGAGCCAAGATACTAATAGCATTGAAGACAAGTACCACGTTTAAATGATATGTCCCACCTTTAATGACGAAAACAATCCATGAATTGAGGTAAGTCGAATATTACCATACATAACACAAGCATCGATACTTTCAATACACCTCTATTGTGTCCAGATACCATCTATCCACCTCAGCAACACATGCATATTTTCCAATAAAGTAATGAGAAAGGAGTGCTAGCGCTGATCACTTCTTTTATTAGTTACCTTTCATTTAGAAGAACTGAACAATTGAAAAGCAAGTGAATGAAACAAATCACGTTTCCTGTCGGCTCACAAATTGGACGGATGTTCCCCCATCCGTAACCCTCTCCTATTGGTCCTCACTTCCTACCCCCTACCTACCCTACGACTCATCCTCATTCGTCGTCGCCACTTCATAGTGCGCACGACTACCCTACCCTTGTGTCTGTCCAGTTTGTGAATAGACAGGAAACTTAGTTCTCTTCGGAGTTTACGAAGAAGAGAAATGCAATTATACGTCCTGTACCGTGTGCGATATTAAAATAACATTAGTACAAAACTGTAATTGACAATTGTCAAATGCTCATTGTAGTTCAAATTGTCAGACTTGTACATATGACATTTTCGTTTTCAGCTTCGCGCCAAAGGAAAAAAGATTAACAGTTTAATCACCGGTTAAATCACCAAAAAAGGTTACAAAAACATTTGGGTCAACTTTTTGTATTACCATTCACAAAAGAAAACAAAAAAATGCTGTTGTTGCCCTGAAATTGAGTGGCTTTAATGGTTAGAATATGATGGAACAGCAGGTCAGTCCAGAGTCAACATTCGCCAGTTCACCAACAGTCGCCTCCACTCGGTTCAGGTGTGGTAACTTCTCCGCAAATATCTGTAAAGGTAAAAATCAACGATCCAGTAAGTCTATGTCCTTGATTAAGAATATACTATTAGACAACTTAAAGCTTTCGATCCAACAAACAGAAAATACTTTACTTAAAGTCGATGTCATTTAGGTTGGCTCAATATTTTTAACTTTGAACATGTAACTGCTAACACAGAAAAACTTTCATGATACATGTAGCAATTATTGTCTGAGGGTTGAGTGAGGCTTGAAGTTAGTGGCTATGTAGAAGTTTTGGAAGATCCGTCGGAGTTTTTCAGATACTCCTTGGACATATGGAATAGTAATGTTGACCTTGTTTTTGTTGGTCAAAGGTTGAGAGCTTTGTTGAAATTCCAGTTTTGGTAGCCACACTTAGCCAGCAGGGCACCTCGGAGGTGTCTATGTTCGTCCGTTTTGGCTTGGTCTGAAGTGATAATGTTGTCTGCACGATGGAAGAGAGTTTTGATCACTGCTAGTTTGTGTTCTAAAGGGTGGTGGGAATCAAAGGCCAGGTATTGATCAGTGTGGGTTGGTTTCCTGTATACTTCGAAACGAATGTTACCATCTTCCTCTACGATAGTTTTGGTGTCTAGGAAAGGGAGCATGTTGTCATGACTTGGCTCCTGTATGGACTTGATGTTGTCATCTATCTGGTTGATGTGGTCAAAGAAATCAGCAGCTACCCTATTTTTCAATCTGCACCAAGTGTCATCTACATATCGAAACCAGTTGGCTGGGGGAGTGTCATCGAAAGTGCTAAGGGCTTTGTTTCAACTTCTCCATGTACAGCTTTACAACAATTGGTGAAACTGGTGATCCCATAGCACAGCCGTGCATTTGTTGGTAGAACTGTCCTTTGTAGGTAAAATACTTTATTTGCATATTTAGTGGAAAATTGGAATAATTTTTCATAGTGATCACAGCCAGGTGGTCCATACTTGCCACGTTTGGAGGTTAAATATAAGTGAAGATAATTCATTTAAATTTATTATCATAACATTTGCATAATTTATGATGAAGTGCTAGAACAGCCTTCTTTGATATGATAAGTCTGTCATTATGTAAAGGATCTATGATGGGGATGAAACGAGGATTATATTTATATATAATTAATGTGCAAAATGTATAATTTTGTCAGTAGGAATGGTTAACATTATTTGGGGAAGGCATGGGGTTGTAGAATTCCCTTTTTTTATGCCGTCCATAAATTAAATCAGTGTGGCCTATTTAATAGCATATTGAATCAACAAACCTTCACACTTTCAGGCCCTTCTTCCTCCGTACAGTGGATGAGGTTCCCGTTGAAATAGATGACGTTGCAGGTATGGTCATCGACAATTCGGGAATCTGGTGTCCATATGGGTTCATAGGTGAACTTAGACTTCTCCTGGATGGCCTGAAATTTGTTAAGAATTCTTTTGAATAAAAAAAAAACATGGCACGGATTGATGAACGACTTTGTTAGGTGCCAGCGACCTATCTGTTGAAACTTTAACGGTTATTTGGTTAGGCGTCAGTATAAGAGATCCTTGAAGTATGCCAACTTAGGAAGCCTAAGTGTTTCAACATTGGTTTGACAAGGGCTCGATATAATGCAATTTTTAAACCTAAGTCGAGCTCAATTTCAGGGCGACCAAACAAAAACGAAAAATATTCAAGAGAAGGAAGTCTGTCTGATTAACACTTGAGAAGTCCCTTTCGGGTTGAATCCTTAAAAAGCTCGAAACAAGCACTACAAAACAAGCAACCCTTTGTATGTTATGGGGTATGATTGATTAAACATTATATACTACATGAAAAGAATAACAAGAAAATTTACTTTGTATCCAAAATCCAGTTTTCCAGTTTTTAATAGGCCTATGGTAGAACAAAAGCAAATAACCAGAGAAACTAGGGGGTTGTTATAAAAAAAATTATTTTTTCGTAACTTTTCAATATTAGTAAGACATGGACAAAGACGTCTGAAAGCAAAGAAGAAAAAAAAACATGTCAAGTTACCCATTAAAGGTGTCTAATGACCCTAAAAATTTCATTGGATGCCTGTGAGTACTGGCCTTACCATGCGGAATGATAAGATTTGACGTTATACACTACCAGGTGCATAAATGTGAAAATTATGTGAATTTCCTGCAAAATTCTGAGAAAGTAATGTGAACTTTTTTTAGGTTCAACGGCATCACATTTTATCACATAAGTTCACAAAAAATCATATAAAATAACATTTCTGAAGCGCGACACCTTTATGTGAAAAAATGTTATTTTTCTCACATTTTGAATTCACATTTTTTTTGGTCACGTTTTCGGGTTTTGTGATTTCACATAATCGATTCCCATATTTCAAACGGTCACATTGTTTCACATTAAATAACATTTGGCGATTCTCATTTTGAAAAAAAATCACATATTTCGGGTTTCACATATTTCTGATTGGATTCACATTACATTATATTTTTTTCACATTTCCTTGAAATTTTGCACAAAATTCAAAAAAATTTCACATTTATGCACCTGGTAGTGATATGACCAGATAAGTCAGTGTGGTGCTAAAATATATATTACTTTAGGCAGTAATTTTGTGGACAAATTTTACCATTATGGCCCTATGTGACTGAGAATAAAACAGGAAACAAATTTCCGGGAGGCAGAAATGCCGTATTCTAACATACTAGTAAGAGAATCTGACGCAAACCTTCCACGCGGTGAATCCCCAGTCGTTCTCACATACAGTCATGACTCCCGGTGCTGCCATACAGATGACCCCCTTCAGGTGGTACTCGGGCTCGGCCAGGGGAATGCCATGTACCGGATACTCCGGGAACGTCTTCCGCATGAACTCGATACCAGGGTTGATATCGGAGATCGGAGAATCGCCAACGAAGAATTCGTGTCCTAAATAACATAAACTAGTCTTATTCTGGTATTTTACATGGGAATATGTCTCTTACGGAATTTATTGCCATGTTACAACACAATTCAGCTATTCCCACTGCTATGTTTGCGTGTTGAAAAAAAAATTCATATTCATATATAACAACAAGATGGCCAACCTACGAGGTCACAGATTTTTTTCCTTTCAATAGTGTTGTTATTTAGGTATATGTAGTTAGTGTTTCTTGTCATTATTATCATTATCAATACTGTGTTTTGGTCAATCATTTTGTTACGATGCGTTCGTGACAAAACTACAAACAGAATTAAATTCGGTAACGAACCAGTGAAAACGATGTTACCGCCCTCCAAAATGGCATCCTCATCATCAACTTGGTGAACCTCCAGTCCAAGATCAATTAACACCTTCTTCACGGCAGCGGCCTTTAAAGAGAAAGATAAATATATATATATAAACAATCAAAAGGGACTAACGTCAAGTTCATTGTTATGAAGTGATTGGATCAGCTCTATCTTGTTTTTCTGTCGGTCATTTCTTTAAATTTTGAGGAATGCATATAATTTGAAGGTTAATCAGCAAATATGTATCATGCCTCCATGGAACAAAATATATATATATTTAAAGCTTAATTAAATATATGTTTTCTTAACTATTTTCATTTTTTTCTTCAAAATATATTTTAAATATGAGCCTAATATGCTTTGCATATTGTTATTTTAGCAGATATCATTAATTATGACATTTGTATTCAAATGTATACAATTTATGCATATTGGTGTTAACATTCACATGTCAAAGGTATAACGTTTCAGTCATTTGTTGTTAATGAACCATAGCATGTTTACATTAACTATGGTAGTATTTCATTATTTGCATACTAAATTTAAAGCAATGGCCCATCCGGTTTAGATTACACTCGTAGGTTGTAAGTGCTTCCTATCAAAACGAATGATAACGTCTTACCTCTCCCCTTCTAGTCTCTGAAAACGGCCGAGTCAGCAGTGCCCTGTTGCCGGCTATCACACAGATGTCTTCCACGAAGGGACAGTCGGGGAGAGACTCGTCCGCCGGCAACACGGTCACGTCTAGCCCCAGATCCCTCAAGGTCTGCGTGTACACTGCATGGTCTTCACGTGCTAGCTCCAGGTCGATTGGTTCGACTGGTGAAAGGCCATGTTTTTCATTATATACGTGTGCCTCTGAGTGGTCCGCAATGGAGTCAGGAATCTGGCGGACGATGGCGCGTGTGAATATGGCTGTAGACATCCTCACTAGGTTTTGGGGATAAAAATATGTCAAGAATTTGAGACGATATAAAATAAAGTGGCGTTTAAAACACGCCTCGGCGACGTGATTCACTTTTGATGTGAGTGATGATCATGGTTATTGTTAATGGAGATGCTTGTTTTAGTACGTGAGCCAGTCATAAGTTTCTCACGAGGATTTACTAACAAATATACTCTTAACTTGAGAGATATTTTTCCATTTCCTCATGAATTATGCAAATTAGGACCAGGTTTGAATAAATTGTGTTTAGTGATCTTCACCTTTACTGAACTATGGCAACGAAGTATGATAAATACTAAATTCCCGGCAATTACCACTATCACATTGTATAGTTATGAGAGCTAGCGGACGAGCTTTCACGTATCCTGGATGAAGATTTTTCACGGACTTGATAATATGTGTTTGTGCAGCCACGTCATCTTGGCAAATCAGAGCGCGTTACGCCGTGTAAAATGGTAAACATTACCTTGATTTCATTTTATTGACGACACGTTCACAACACCCATTTTTGAACCACTCAATGGTCTGGAGGTCGTGCAAGGCAGGCCCCATTACTGGAAAGTTCGGTGTTTCTCGGTGAGAGTAACTCACGGAATTTCTGTGGGTGAATATTCACCAAAAAGTTTCCACAAGTCGGTAGTGCGTAGAAACGTTCCGCCAATAAAGAATTGCTCTGTAAAAAGGCAGTGTTTTTGAACTTGATATGTCTACGTTAAAATTGCCAAAGAAGAGTTTGTAACTACATGTAAAACCGGTATCTCAGGCTAACTAATGCATGTATCATAAACCACCCATTGTACGTGTATATATATATACGAAGTGTTACGGGCCCTGTCACAGTTCTTCATGACCCCTTTGACGTATGGCCTGTGTATAGTTGTGCATATCACCCGAGGGAATTAAAATAGTGTAATATTCGACCATCTGATTGAAGTGGACATAAAAGGGCATCTGCTGAAAGGCTATCACATGGCTCATTCTGGCGCATTCTAAGCCTCTACCAGGCTTCGGGAAGCGGCTGTAAAGAGTAGAATTTGGCTAAATAAAAAGATTACATGCCAGTTGAGTTGTTTCGCTAGAGGGGATTGCTGCTGCAAGAACTTTAATCTTGGTATAAGAATTATTTTCTTGAGGAAAGAAAGGGTTTTCCTGCCATGCAACATGCATTGGAAAACCCATTAAAACTTATCCTGCTGCAAGAAACTTAATCGTATTGCGAGAATATTATTCTAGCTTCAAGAACCCTTTTAATGTTCTGCTTCAATCTTGGTATGAGAACCGTAGTCTAGGTACAAGAAATGCTATTAAGGAAAGAGTTTCAAGAAACTGATACTACAAAAGCTAAAAGATTCTTCGTGTAAGAACCCGAAATGCTTGCCACAAGAATGATACTCCTAAAATATTGGTTAATTAGCTGTAGGAAAAAATTCTTAGAATAAGAACAACGTGGGTTTCTTGAATTTTCTTGAAACGGAGATTCTTGTTGAAAGAATAACATTCTTGCTGACAGAAAAATTTTCTTTGCACAAGGAAAAACAAGAACATTTTGGTAGTGTCTAGTTTGCCACACATATATCTCTATTTGGCCCAACTCGCTCTATTTGGCGCTATAATTTTTCCAGCCTGGTAAAGACTAATATAACCTCGGTCGGCAGGTGTGTCGTGGCCTTTCGAGTGGTAAATATGTGCGTCGTGGCCGCCGTGTAAACTGGTAGACTACTCTAGAATTCCTTCCAACATTTTAGGTTCTTATTCTTTTGGAGTGGTTGCAAAAGTGATTAAAGTGAAGATCCTAGAGACCAAACAAATTATAAGAGCGTCAAGGTGTTGAAACAGCAACTCACCAGCTGAGAATTTCAAGGATTCAACGTCTCCATCAGAACATGCAGCATCAACAGACTGAAGTAGCCATTTTCTTCCCTTATTTTGACAGGGCCATTATGTACCATTTTTGCACCAAAAATTGAAATATTTCAAATGAAAGAAATCACTTTTTGACGTACGTGTGTATTTGTACAGTTTCTGCTCTGGAATTCGGACACCAAAGGAAAAAGGCAAGGAATTTGAATGACGGAAACTTTGAAAAGACTGACCAACTACGGAAGAGGGGATTCAGTAAGTGGTACTCAAAGCCCTTACCCGTTCCTTTGTTTAAAAAATGGCGGAAGAAATATTGGCAACATCAGTCTGTTGATGTTGTTGTCGTGGTGACGTTCGGTTCTTAAATTCTCAGGTGGTG